ATCTATTTCACATTGAAAATGTACGACTTAAGTACACTAGAAAATAAATTAAAGATGTGCAACAAATGTATCAGTAATTAAAATGATATAACTTATGTACAGGGTTGGGAGGGCTACTTGCCAAAAACGCAACCAGTAACTTAATGCGAGTATCAAGATATAAAAGTACTGTAACCTGATCACTTTATTTTTCTTTTGGATTACCTCAATATCAAATGCAATGCAAATAAACACAGGAGAGAAGAAATATTAATATGATTTTTTTACTTAAATGTATAATATACATAAAGCTGACTGAGGCAGTAGGTGTATAGATTCACAATGAAAGTATTAGCCTACAGAACAGTACCGCTTCCAGAGAAGAGAGAACATCTGATCATTTTACAACAAACACTATATGCTCTTTTCAGGTTTTGAATAAGATTGTAATCCTGAGTTTCCCTATTATTAAAAAAAGTCAAACTAATCCGATTACATCTTTTCCTATGTAACTAAGGATTACACTTTCCTTTTTTTCTATACGATCTTGATTCGTGTTGGATGTAATCCATTACTACCTAAGCCAATAAAAGTCATAACATTTGGAAAATTGTCTCAAGTTATAAATTATGCCTTCAATCTCTTTCACGTGGGGAAGACATCACATTGGCCGAGGCGTTGCAACTTCCCTCAAGCGTCCTACATGAAAGAAAGATCACATGTTAAAAATGTGTGCACAGACTATTCAGTATGACCCGTCTTAGTTTAAAGCCCACTCACCACGACAAGGTGTAGGTCAGGGGGGGATGGGCACATAATGGGGGGGGAACACATCTTGTGTGTGTGTGTGTGTGTGTGTGTGTGTGTGTGTGTGTGTGTGTGTGTGTGTGTGTGTGTCTGTGTGTGTGTGTGTGTGTGTGTGTGTGTGTGTCTGTGTGTGTGTGTGTGTGTGTGTGTGTGCGTGTGTGTGTGTGTGTGTGTGTGTGTGTGAGAGACAGACAGCTAAACTAAGATGGAGGAAATTGCAGAGGGACAGGGAGGGAGGTGTTACAAAGTTGACTAAATCATCCAAAATTCAATGAAAGTGGTGATCAGCAATTTCATATGTTCAAATGTCTACTGTGAAGGATATCATAAATCCTTAATGCAATCGAATGTAAAACAAAAAAGTTATGATTGATGAAAGTAGTAAATCGGTCAGATTTGACCCGAAGACAACAGGAGGGTTAATGCCATATTCACTTAATAACGCATGAACAACTTTTACAAATATTTCTATATAGTCTGTGTTGGTAAATGTCATCTAGGTTGCACATTTCCTGCTGAAATACATGCATACCAAGTTACTGCGTGGCACTTTGGTTTTGATAAAACAGTGTAGTTCCACTATATAAACGTTACATTCATAATCAAACGAGACAATCTGCAGGAGAATGAGCTATTTGTTGTTATTTGTAATGCTTGTCATTCACACGTTAATAAAATAAAATAAGTACCGATACATAGCAGAACAATTGTGGCGATGTTCAGCTTAATAAGCCTTGTTCAACATAATTTATTTAGCTAATACTACAGCGGGCTGCAGGCGAACCAAGTCCGCGTTTCGCTGCATTCCTTGATCTCCAGTTATAACGCCGGACTCCACCGCCCGGAGCTAACGGAGCCGCCGGGACGCGCTAGCGAGCTAGCCCCCTGCGGCTCCGTTAGCTTCGGCCGGCGTGGACTCCGGCGGCCACCACTGGGATAATTGGGTCCCCTTTTAACATTTGCTCCCGTTTAGCATTATGGGCGTCACAGCCATATACTATAAAAGGCTGAATCATAAACTAAACTGTATATATATATATATACACATGTATAAAGGGTTACGTCCTTAGCTGGCTAATAAGCTACATAATAAGCTACATAACAAGCTAAGCTAACAAGCACACAAACACCTGCTAACGGGATTAACATGTATAATATTATCATTTTACTCACCGAAAAAAGCTGAGAGTAGACTTCTTGGAAGGTCTGTTAGTACATTCAAGCGCACAGCACGACATTTTAATTGTCTGGTATTTGTAACAATATTCCCTAAAAGGCACAATCACCACGAACACGGCTAAAGGGTCAAGCACAGTAACTACAACTAGCTAACGTTGTAGCCTAGCAGAGTGGACAAATTGCTGTTAGCTGACAGTGAGGCACGTACCTGTCCATCAAAGTGACCACGCCCTAATTTATGCAAAAACTTTAAGACCTAATATAAATAAAAGGGTCGCGTTAGAAAACAATTCACTCACAGATTCATAATCACGAAGGTGGAATCTAACTATATACATAATAAAATGTATTGCAGCCAGGGCTAGAAACGTTTTTTTTCTGCTGTAAAATTGGGCATTTTAACATTGGGGTCTATGGAAATTGCTCCTTTCTGCAGTCATCGCCTATCGGCCAATATATGAACTACAGTTTGTGGCACTTCCGTATTGGCGTCCCGGCTCTTCCCCAGAGTTTGCCGCTTGGTTTTACCACACTTTTTTTTTTTTTTGACTTGCAAAATTATCTTTTAAATTGAAAAACAACATATGTGTAATTCGTGGCACAATTCAAACGGGATCGAAAGATAAGTTTTCTCTCTCCATTGACTTCAATACATAATTTTTCCGAAATAAGGTCCCATGGAGGTCCACCGGAAGGGGAGGGACTTCGCCACTCTATAAAGGAGCTACAGCACGGTCACATGACTTCACGTCACCACCGCTAAGCTAAAGGAGGCTAATGTTGGGCTATAAAGGAGCTACAGCACGGTCACATGACTTCACGTCACCACCGCTAAGCTAAAGGAGGCTAATGTTGGGCTATAAAGGAACTACAGCACGGTCACATGACTTCACATCAACACCGCTAAGCTAAAGGAGGCTAATGTTGGGCTATAAAGGAATTACAGCACGGTCACGTGACTTCACGTCACCACCGCTAAGCTAAAGGACTCTTTAAAGTAGAGACGCTACATACTGATATACACCTGAACATCAGCAGGAGAGGACTCTTTAAAGTAGAGACACTACATACTGATATACACCTGAACATCAGCAGGAGAGGACTCTTTAAAGTAGAGACACTACATACTGATATACACCTGAACATCAGCAGGAGAGGACTCTTTAAAGTAGAGACACTACATACTGATATACACCTGAACATCAGCAGGAGAGGACTCTTTAAAGTAGAGACACTACATACTGATATACACCTGAACATCAGCAGGAGAGGACTCTTTAAAGTAGAGACACTACATACCGATATACACCTGAACATCAGCAGGAGAGGACTCTTTAAAGTAGAGACACTACATACCGATATACACCTGAACATCAGCAGGAGAGGACTCTTTAAAGTAGAGACACTACATACTGATATACACCTGAACATCAGCAGGAGAGGACTCTTTAAAGTAGAGACACTACATACTGATATACACCTGAACATCAGCAGGAGAGGACTCTTTAAAGTAGAGACACTACATACTGATATACACCTGAACATCAGCAGGAGAGGACTCTTTAAAGTAGAGACACTACATACTGATATACACCTGAACATCAACAGGAGAGGACTCTTTAAAGTAGAGACACTACATACTGATATACACCTGAACATCAGGAGGAGAGGACTCTTTAAAGTAGAGACACTACATACTGATATACACCTGAACATCAGCAGGAGAGGACTCTTTAAAGTAGAGACGCAACATACTGATATACACCTGAACATCAGCAGGAGAGGACTCTTTAAAGTAGAGACACTACATACTGATATACACCTGAACATCAGCAGGAGAGGACTCTTTAAAGTAGAGACACTACACACTGATATACACCTGAACATCAGCAGGAGAGGACTCTTTAAAGTAGAGACACTACATACTGATATACACCTGAACATCAGCAGGAGAGGACTCTTTAAAGTAGAGACACTACATACTGATATACACCTGAACATCAGCAGGAGAGGACTCTTTAAAGTAGAGACACTACATACTGATATACACCTGAACATCAGCAGGAGAGGACTCTTTAAAGTAGAGACACTACATACTGATATACACCTGAACATCAGCAGGAGAGGACTCTTTAAAGTAGAGACACTACATACCGATATACACCTGAAGATCAGCAGGAGAGGACTCTTTAAAGTAGAGACACTACATACCGATATACACCTGAACATCAGCAGGAGAGGACTCTTTAAAGTAGAGACACTACATACTGATATACACCTGAACATCAGCAGGAGAGGACTCTTTAAAGTAGAGACACTACATACTGATATACACCTGAACATCAGCAGGAGAGGACTCTTTAAAGTAGAGACACTACATACTGATATACACCTGAACATCAGCAGGAGAGGACTCTTTAAAGTAGAGACACTACATACTGATATACAGCTGAACATCAGCAGGAGAGGACTCTTTAAAGTAGAGACACTACATACTGATATACACCTGAACATCAGCAGGAGAGGACTCTTTAAAGTAGAGACACTACATACTGATATACACCTGAACATCAAACTGACTGTGGAGTTCAATAAAGCATTGAAAGAGACTATTACAAAATATAAAACTTTATTTAAAGCCATTGTTGACATTGTAGAAAAGTGAGTATAAGAAATTACATTATAAATAAAAAAACGACAATACATTTAAATATGATGAAATATAAATAATAACAAAAGCCGCCCGAGAAACATTTTTAGTAAATATCTGAAATTTGATATAAATATAGAACATTGTGTTTTTTTATAAAAAAATAGATTTTCCAATAATGTAAAGCTTTTGTTTTGAGAAGTACAATTTAAAAAATATAGAATAGACATTATTTTAAAGCATAACAAATAAATGTTTGTGTGGTAACTCTCCCACGTCCCTCCTCTCTCTAAATCCTGCCTTTTCTCCCAGAATTCCTTCACATCCTTCACAGGATACTAACTTATTGTACCTACAATGAAACCTTTAGGGTAGATATCTGAGCAGGGCGTCCACCTGCTGCCTCCAGCACTGAGCACAGCTGATGGAGGTCTGGATCTGGTTGTACTCTACTATCGTAGTCGAGTCGGAGGGACACTGTGCCGGACCCAGGTATGACCCCGTCTGAAAACAATGACAAATACATGTTTATGTTGGTGTCATGTTTTGCATTGCTGGTAGTAGCTCAGCCAATCAGAGCACAGCGACTCACCAGGTGTTGCCGCAGGTCGTTGTTCAGCGTGATGGCATCACACAGGGGGCCTCTGACTGCAGGACAGAAGGATATGAGCTGCTCCGCACACTTCTGATGCTGCAACAGCTTGTCGGCCGCCTCTGATCTCTGCACGACACCATGTTAAAAAACACAACATTTTAACCATCTGTGAAACCAAACCCATTCAAAAACTAACATTTTAACCTGTTTTTCAGGTCTCAGGCTCGAAAATGACATTCCCAGAATAAATGACTATATCTTACCTTCTAAAAGGGTTACATTAATAATCTGTTTTCTCAAAGTAATGATAAACCTGTGAGTTGGATGTAGAAAAGTCAGAATCAATATAGATGTTTTTATTTTAAAGTAAATTCAGATTGAACATAGTAAAAAAATTTAAATTATTGTGTCTGTCCAAAAAGAAAACATTACTTATAGTGAAAACTACCCTTGGATGATGGTAAGGTAGACTAAAAGCTTTAGGAATCCAAAGTACAACATATAATAAGTACCCTGTATCAAGATTGATGCAAAACAAGTGACATTTGACCTTTTTAGAGAGATTTATCAAAAGAAACCACTTCTGGGGTCATTTGGGTGGATTTTCCATATCTCTGGAACCCATCAGTCGATTTTGATGATTGACATCTCTTTTTAACCGTTAGAGCCAATAGAATCGAGGGGAGGTTCCTAAAATCCATCTAAACATTACCAATAAAGAACCGCAGTGACGCATCCTAAAACCTGGAAGTAAGTTAGCATTTTTACCACGTCCGGTTCCTTCGACAAAGAGCAATGCAATCTCTCCATAGGGTTCTGGAAAATATCTGGAACTAAGGTCTGTGGTTGAGACACGTTGAAGAGACGGATCACGTTTTGTTCTAGGACATTAAATCCATCAGCAGTGACCCCGCTGGTGATTTCTGAAGAGTTGACGTGTCTGAAAAACGATGGTTGTTACCAAGTGGCTGAATAGGACTACAGAAGTTGTGGAGGACGTCGTACGTCGTACGTCATTACGCCGAACACGTAAACACTCCTCTAAGTTAGTTTGCCCTGTTCTGCTTGAAAGCAAGTACCTGCCTCCTGCAAAGTGTTCAAACAAACACTTCAACTCGTACCATTTAGAATCTGTGTGTTTGAATATGGATCTGAAGTTGGCGTGACGTTGAAGCAGCGACCCTGCTGTAGTTCCTTTATAGCATAACGTTAACATTTTGCTTCTGGCGACTAGATTTATGATTAGAAAATGATAAAAGTAGGGTAGACATGTGGAGATTATCCGGCTGAACAAAACATGATCTGTCTCTTAAATGCGTCTCAACCACAGACCTTATTTCCAGATATTTTCCAAAATCCTATGGAGAAATCTCATTGGTTTTTGTCGAAGGAACCGGAAGGAGTTTACTTCCGGGTTTTAGGACGCGTCACTGCGGTTCTCTATAAGGAAGTGCCACAAACTGCAGGTCATCTATTGGTGAACGAGTGATACGCAGACAGAATGCCCAAAACCGGAAGCTCTCATTCACTCTCGTAGCTATCATAGCAGCTATATATGAAAACTACTCTTATTGCCATAAATATGATGATGGATTATCAGTAATCATTTCAAAGTGACACAGACACATTGGATTAACCTTCAGCAGCGTTTATATGCGTTTTAATGCCATTGAACACAACTTTTGATCAGAAAACAGCAGGTAAGACGTATTTGCCGTTTTGGCCCCGTAAAGTGAAGTTGTGTGTTGTCTTTGCTTGCCTTCACTGCCGTGAGTTTTGGTCGCTCAGTGATGAGACTTATACCACTGGAATCTGTGGAATCTCAGCTTTCATATGATATCTAGTTTGTGCAGATCCGATGAAGTATAAAAGATTGCTACCGTGAGTTATGTGCTAAGTGCGTTAGCATTCTTTCGATTAGTGCTAATTCAGAGGCTCGGCGTTAGACTTTTGTTTCGTTTGGTAAAAATGGTTAATATCGTCTGATAGCTGAGTGTCTTCCCGTTAAGTGGGTCTGACACATTCTTAGTTTGTTAAATGTTAAGAAGCCCCCAGACGCTGTTTCTTGCAAGATGTTGCGGGGGCCCCCGGGCTTAACAGGTTAACTATCTGAGACATATAAACCACATTCTAAAAACATGTGTTAGCTCACCTGGTTTGGCTCAGCATGGGTCTCAGTGCAGATCCAGGCTGGCACACCACTCAGGTTACACTGCAAAACAAAACATAAACAATCCCAACATTAATTTATATTAAATGTTTTCTGACTGTAGTTTGGTGTGGAAGCGTTTTGTAAAACTACGTGTTTCCTGACTGTAGTTTGGTGTGGAAGCGTTCTGTAAAACTACATGTTTCCTGACTGTAGTTTGGTGTGGAAGCGTTCTGTAAAACTACGTGTTTTCTGACTGTAGTTTGGTGTGGAAGCGTTCTGTAAAACTACGTGTTTTCTGACTGTAGTTTGGTGTGGAAGCGTTCTGTAAAACTACGTGTTTTCTGACTGTAGTTTGGTGTGGAAGCGTTCTGTAAAACTACGTGTTTCCTGACTGTAGTTTGGTGTGGAAGCGTTCTGTAAAACTATGTGTTTTCTGACTGTAGTTTGACCTGTTTTCTGACTGTAGTTTGGTGTGGAAGCGTTCTGTAAAACTACGTGTTTTCTGACTGTAGTTTGACCTGTTTTCTGACTGTAGTTTGGTGTGGAAGCGTTCTGTAAAACTACGTGTTTTCTGACTGTAGTTTGGTGTGGAAGCGTTCTGTAAAACTATGTGTTTTCTGACTGTAGTTTGACCTGTTTTCTGACTGTAGTTTGGTGTGGAAGCGTTCTGTAAAACTACGTGTTTTCTGACTGTAGTTTGGTGTGGAAGCGTTCTGTAAAACTACGTGTTTTCTGGCTGTAGTTTGGTGTGGAAGCGTTCTGTAAAACTACATGTTTTCTGACTGTAGTTTGGTGTGGAAGCGTTCTGTAAAACTACGTGTTTTCTGGCTGTAGTTTGGTGTGGAAGCGTTCTGTAAAACTACGTGTTTTCTGACTGTAGTTTGGTGTGGAAGCGTTCTGCAAAACTACGTGTTTTCTGGCTGTAGTTTGGTGTGGAAGCGTTCTGTAAAACTACGTGTTTCCTGACTGGAGTTTGGTGTGGAAGCGTTCTGTAAAACTATGTGTTTTCTGGCTGTAGTTTGGTGTGGAAGCGTTCTGTAAAACTACGTGTTTTCTGACTGTAGTTTGGTGTGGAAGCGTTCTGTAAAACTACATGTTTTCTGACTGTAGTTTGGTGTGGAAGCGTTCTGCAAAACTACGTGTTTCCTGACTGTAGTTTGGTGTGGAAGCGTTCTGTAAAACGATGTGTTTCCTGACTGTAGTTTGGTGTGGAAGCGTTCTGTAAAACTACGTGTTTTCTGACTGTAGTTTGACGTGTTATCTGACTGTAGTTTGACGTGTTTTCTGACTGTAGTTTGACGTGTTATCTGACTGTAGTTGGTGTTTCGTCTTACCGTGCCGTTGAGCGTGCTGCTGAACGTCTGCAGCGCCGCCTGAAGGCTTTCGGCGATGCTCTCCACGTAGGGGTCTGAGGAAACCGTTGTTAACGGCGCACCTGCTGTAAGCTCCGCCCATAACGCCACAGACAGGAAGAACAGGTACCCACAATGCACTGCAGCAGGACGAGAGAATAATGTATTTTAACGAACGGTTGAGTTTTTATTTGAAGCTGAATCTTAAAGCATTAATATATATGTTTATATATACAGTATTAAAGTTGTTTTCAGGGCTGACTGGACTTGAGTTCAGGACATCAGACGTCCCATTTGGACCCCCCAACCCTAACCCCAACCCTAACCCCAACCCCAACCCTAACCCCAACCCTAACCCCAACCCCAACCCTAACCCCAACCCCAACCCTAACCCCAACCCAACCCCACCCACCCCCACCACACCCAACCCCAACCCCCACCCTAAACCCCAACCCTAACCCTAACCCTAACCCTAACCCCAACCCAACCCCCAACCCCAACCCTACCCCCAACCCCAACCCTAACCCCTAACCCCAACCCCAACCCCCAACCCCAACCCCAACCCTAACCCCAACCCCAACCCCAACCCCAACCCTAACCCCAACCCTAACCCTAACCCTAACCCCAACCCCAACCCCCAACCCCAACCCTAACCCCACCCCAACCCCAACCCCACCCCAACCCCAACCCCCCAACCCCCAACCCTAACCCCACCCCCACCCCAACCCCAACCCCAACCCCAACCCCAACCCCCAACCCTAACCCCAACCCCAACCCCCAACCCTAACCCCTTCAAAATAAAAGCCCCATAGAGTTACTTTATCTTTACAGAAAAAAACAATACAGCTACAGCTATGAATACTGAGTTAGCGGTAGCAACATTAGCATCAGGATGGGACCAGGCTCAAAGT